ACACAACACAACAGTGCAGGCTTTCAGCCCCCCGTGGTGTCTCATGAATATTTGAGGATAAATGTCTGGAAAAGACTGTAACTGGCGAGTAGGCCACTGGAGATCCTCGGGAGAAGTTATCCCAGTGGGAAGACCTGAACCCCAGCATAGGACCCCTTGAGTCACCCCAGCATGCCCTTGTTAAGACACTGACAGATACCTTCCAAACAAGTTCGTGGCTAAAGGGCCATCCCGAAGCAAAAATAAAAATATTTTTCTCCTCTGTCAAGAGGTGTCACGTCTTAAGCCTTCTCCTGCCCATTTTAATAACAATAATATAAATATTAAAGGATGGCTGGAACCGCCTGCACTAACACAGTTAATTAACATGTTGCCTAGGAATGTAGCAGGGAGAAGAATTATTTCATGTCACCAAGACACAACTTAATTAACACTGGGTTCTCCCAGACTATTTCTCTCTCTCCTTTTTAAAAATGGAAAAGATTAACAAGGCCAGGCAGCACCGGGTTTATTCCTGAATGTTATATAAAACCGTAGAGATAGGAGAAGCCCCGGCTCTTCTGACCTCACTCTCCTGGCACTTCATTTAATAAGATTCAAATGATTTGACAGGGATGTAGTCAGGGGGCCCAATGGGAATCATTTGCTCGTCTGCCTTCTGCATCGACTTGGCAAACCGGTCGCCAGCAAAATCAGGTCTCTATTTATCCCGATTCTATTTCCTTTTGTCACTTATAAGACATTGACCAAAATGATAATCATGATCACTGAAAACCCTACTTATTTTCTTTGAATCACCAAATTTGCAAGGACTTTATCAGGGAATTTAGGGGGAGGAAAGCTTATCCTATCAGCCTCTCGGTAAGCAGATCAGCTTTCTCCACTGTGGAATTGCCTGCAATTTTTTTTTTTAATGTAAAATGCTCGGCAGGGTGGGCTGGGGAGGAAGAGCTGGCCTGGCAGCCAAGGGCACTGGAGTCTAAACAAGCTTCGCAGGGTTGGGTGGTCCTCGTGTATTAGGGCTGCATCCTCCACGGACCCTCTGCCACAGGAAGATGGCAAAAAACTGACAGCTACACAGTTGAGCAGATCTGACAATAGAGGGCACAGAGTTACCTCCACAGCAGCTAATGTGAAACTGGAAATTCTAGAACATTCCGGGCAAAGGCACCCCTTGAGTGCTGGAAGACACAAATGGTCAATAGCATATATAACCTGGAGCCTTAGAGAGGCCCTCAGTGGTTGTCTCAGTAGAGGTCCTATTTGCCCCTCCATGCTCCCATCTCTTTATTCTCTAGACAGATGTCTTTTTTTATAACAATATCTATTTTTTATATGTGTATTTTATTGATTTCAGAGAGGAAGGGAGAGGGAGAGAGAGAGAGAGAAACATCAATGATAAGAGAGAATCATTGATTGGCTGCCTCCTGCACGCTCCCTACTGAGGATCGAGCCCACAACCCGGGCATGTGCCCTTGACTGGAATCGAACTAGGGACCCTTCAGTCGCAGGCGAACGCTCTATCCACTGAGCCAAACCAGCTAGGGCAGCAGGAGAAGTCTTAATGGCAACGTCAGGAGGGTCCGTTACAAGAGCAGCTAACATCTATTTGATATTTGTGCACCAAGTCAGGCACCTTACGTGTATTACCCCATTTAACCCTCACCTCCTCCTTGGAAGTAGGTATTACTATTATCCCCATTTTACAGATAAGGAAATCGAGGCTTAGGAAAGTTAAGTAACTGACCAGGTCACAGAGCTAGAAAGCAGTGGTGCCAGGGCTCAAACCTCCAACTGACTTCAGGGCCTTCCTACGGTGACAAATTCTTGGAGCGCCATAGTGGGAACACGCTTCCTATTTTTAAGTTTCTCCCCCAATCACATCGGAGTCATACAAAGGAATAGTTACAGCCGATAGGGATGCTTTGAAGCATTACATGAGCTCCTAAGAGCCCGCCCTCACACTTACGAAGTATTCTGAATTTCAAGTTTATCATTCTCTTGCCTTTAAACTATTTGTCATTTACCCCAGTAGGAATAAGCCGCATGTGGCTCGCGAGCCGCAGTTGGCCAACCACTGGGATAGGGGGCAAGGACACTGGACAGAAGGCAAGCCAGGTGCACACAACTGCATCTTGGGCTGCGTCCCTGGATGTGTGTGTGTGGGGTGGGGGGCGCGAGGGGGAGCTCTGGCCAGTCGGCAAGAGGACTCTGAGGTGTAAGTTATGTCTCCAGGTCACCCTGGCTCCAGGTACCAGGCAAGGGTGCGGGGTCTTGGTGCTCCCCCAGCGCAGGCCATTGGTTC